GTTACTAAAGACCAATATGTGCATTGAGCGACACTTGACTTAGCCAGCAGCACCATGCACAAAAAAAAAAAAAAAGGGGGGGGAAATTTAGTGGTGATAATAGATGTTATTTTAATAGTAACCACTTCAATATTCGTTAGCTAAGCAACTCTAGCTCGCTTGCAAATGATAAGTGTCCCTTGTACGCTTATGAAACATATAGTGCAATAGATGCGGAGCATTCGTTTTACAAACAATAGCGACCAACATCGTTTAAGCAAGTTCAGTCGACCCGCTACCAAGCAAGGTAGATAATGTATACAAAAGGTAGCAAACACCTTACGAGCTTACTGTAGGAGAATTCGATGCACATGGTACCATGATGTTGACCAATAAGATGCAAGAGAAAATTGCGCATAAAATGGCATATCACTAGTATTCAACAACGAACATGCAGATGAAGCACACTGGATGGCACCATACAGCAGCGATTTTTGATCGAGATGTTGCGAGTGTGGTAGATCCTCTATAAGCATAGAAGCGTGCTTCACGTCTACCCGAAATGAAGGCTTAATTGAACTCAAGTACAACTAAAGTCTTCCAAATGGATAATTTTGGCAGGTTTTGAGAGTGAAACTGGGATAAGGGATAACATTGTGTCAAGCGACGCTTTGTTGAAGGATACACCAGAGGAAGGTCCTAACGTGAACAAATAGACATGCAAAGATTTGATGATTTATAATATGAATTATGTAGATCAAAAGAATGGGCACTTGAAGAAAAAAAAGGTCTCATTCTATTATCTCTTCAAGAAATATGAGGCTCCCGAAAATATTGCTCGCTATTTGGACGAAGACCCTGAGATCCAGGTTCCCTTAAACTCAGGTTTCCTTACATATGCATCATAAATATATAAAATGGACTCCTCAAGCGTATACTATTCTTAAGGCACCAAAGAAGCTTCTTATGTCCTACGTGCGTTATTATCTTACTAGAGATGTCATCGAGATACTGAAATATTTCCCTGCATTCATATGCCGTACGTTGGAGGAGACTACTTTCATCATAAACTGAAGTGAGGAATTAACGATCTGCCATTTAGCCGAAGCATTTGATTTTCTCAGATTATCACGGTACACAATCTATCACAAAAAAAACTTCAATCGCAACATATTAAATGTCCTTCTATCTAAGCGAGGACTAGATGACTTGTAGATCTGAGCTTCCGAAGCAGAATGAGAAAGGAAACAGTATTCAAAACATGAGTTTATTTTATGTCTATTCTAAATGTGATGCTACCGATTTTCACCATAAGAAAAAGTAAGAGAATCATTAGTAAAACACAGTCCATTGAAGCGCCATGCATGCACTGGATCCACAATGTTCATGGCAAGCAGAGTATAAGGGTGTTTTGAGATTTTTTAAAATGAATTTCGCGCTGCATTTATTATAGTGGATTATTTTGCATAGTCGACCAATCACCAAAAAACACACCCAATTACATTGCTTGAAACATATTTTAAAATGCCCCTCATACACGCATTGACAACATGCCATGATAACTCATTTTAAAAATGTTAATCCAAAAATCGTGAGGATACTGTATTTAATTTAACAAATGCATCTGCATATTAATATCTAATATGTTTGCCATATGCACGTGTCTTAATTTTATAAGAGTAATGTATAATACGGCATGTCATCCGACATTGCAAGCATGTTTCAAACAGTGATCTCTGACATCACATTGTAACGGTGTCAAAGTATTTCCATTAATACCTGTTCATCTTAGACTTTGCTACCTACACTCCAAAATAACCTGAGCCATGTATTTTGTAAGATGTCGAGGGTTTCATTCCAGCTTGTCATTCGACATTGCTGTTGGCATAATCCAACAATAAACCTTTGCCATCATTGTAGGATGTCAATGATTTCATTCAAATGTGTCACCTGACAGTTAATAATTGCATTTTATATAAAAGACCTTTCTGCAATGTAATTGCTAGGATGCACGGGGGCTTCATTCAGGCATTGTTCGTTTGACATTACATCACATTCCAAGTCCTCCCGTAAGCATTTGCAATATCAGAGGGACTTCATTCAGCAATATCATGCATCATATTAACTTGCATGCCATTTTTAATTATGAAACGTGTCACTCCAGTATGTCATTTTGACATATGCAATCATAATTCAAAGTGATCTCTTGCATTGCATTTAAATATGCAGAAGATTTCACTCAAAGTATTGTAATTTTGATATTTGCAATCACAATTCAAAATGGACCTCCTGATGCATTTGTAGGTGTAAGAGAGTTTTATTTCAAGCAATGCCATTCGAACATTAGTATTACATTTTAAAATGACCTTCATGATGTATTTGAGGATTGCAAAAAGATTTTCATTAAAGTATGTTTAAATCAACCATATAAATTGCTTCATGCAAAAATACAAGTAACAACATAATCTGCATGGGGCTCGGCACGCATGATTAGTAAATGTGATATCTGAGGAGTTGCGTAGGTTAAGAAATAATTTGATTCAAACCCGATCCTTTTGCTAGCAAGTAGCAGAGTCGACAAAGTTGCAATCAACAAAATAAAAAAAAGCCCGTAAACACCCACAATGATAGCCGTGTTGATTAAAAAATCTTTAATTTGGAGGGGACTATAACCATTATTAAAATACTATTGTAAATTGCCATAAAAATCTAAATTTTCAAAATAATTCATCCAAAAACAGATATTTAAATAAATTAATCACAACACTTAAAGCAAATATCCATCTACATCCAAAACAGTTTGCTGAGGTGGACAAAAATATGAAAATTACTTCAACTCACAAAGAGGTTAATGTATTAGTCAGAATATACACTAGGATTCATTCTCAATCTTTTCTTTTGCTAGTAAGGACGTAGCACATATTCTTAACCGGTGATTTTGGCAGCCTAATGGCACGCACATCATGGTGTTCGCCACTAAATGGCACACAGGTAAACGATTTGCCGAGACCCTTTTGACCGAGTGATTTTCTGCCAAAATGGCACAACTAAATTCGATCAATGGTCAAAGCCTGTTATGCTCCACAATGGCTTAAATCATTGAGCATATGAATTCAACAGAGTACAATACGACAGGGCACAAAAGCCCTTTGTTAACTGTTGACTGTAAGCTGCCATATCACCGGACTCCCTCACCCGACATACTCGACACACAACCGACACGGTCCCACTCACGACGCTTCAATCCACCGCCTCACTCACAGAAATAAAAACAACGCTCCCTCTTCATTCGACAGGGAGAATTCACACACGACAATACGCTCTGAAAATCGAAACCGAGGAAGAAGATCGCAAGCAAGGAACGAAAAGAGGAACTTCAAAACTTACCTCTCCTCCGTGCGACGCCAAAACCGACGTGCCCTAGTCGATCCGACTTTGTGCTCACGGCTTCTTTTCCGCCGTTGGCCCTAGCCGCCACCCAGCCGGACTCACCTGCCTCCGACCCGACCGACCAACAACGCCGGGGCCGACTCCAGCCTCCGATCCCGCCGTGCCGTGACCTAGCCATCGGCGCTTCCCTTCGATTTTGCTCCTGTCCCAGATCCCTCTCTGTTATATAATACTATATATATATATATATATATATATATTAAATATATATATTATTATATAATATATATATATATATATATATATATATTTTATATATATAAGAAAATAAAAAAAAAGTAAATAAAGAGAGCAATAGAGATGGAGAGAAATAAATTGATTTTTTTAAAACAGGGTGCTCGAAGATCATACAGCCGTCGATCCTTTGATCCCGGGATATTGATGATTTTAAATTTTTGAAGACCATATGCCGTCCGATCTTTGATCCCGGGATATGATTGGTTTAAACTATTGTAGATTCTCGCCCTGATCGAATCTTTGATACGGTTGGAAGAAGTACCGCAGGTTGCCGTCCCGATTTCTCCCCGTTGGAGAGACCGTGGGAAGGCTGACCCAAAAAATTTATCATTGAACAATAAAAGGCATTGGACTTTAAAATTTAAAAATTGATCTTGAACGAAATTCTAAATATAAAAATCAATTTTTAATTAAATTTGACGAAAATATTACTTACTCGAAAACAAAAAAATTGAAACTCAAACCCAAACCTGAGCTAAGAACTTACACTTGAACTTGAAAAAGGCCGAGCATTCGAATGGAAACCAACAATTTTACTAAATGACACACGATCAAATAAGGAGATTTGACTTAAGTCATGCTTACCAAATATTTTTTTAAAGAACTCTAAAAGTTTAATGCTTTCAATGAAATAAGAATAAAGTAAATGATATTAAAAAACCATCAATACACATTCAAACTATCCTGAAGATATGAGATTTAAATTACAAACTTGTTTGGCAAGAAACTTAAAAGCTTATTTTGGAGTTAATTTGACTTAAAAGTTATGGATATTGGAGTTTCTTAGACCTCTGATAGATCACTTTCAACAATTGAACATGATACTTCCTCTTAAAATAACAATCGGGAAAACAACTTTGAAATGTAAATCTCCCAATCAGCGATAACATAGTGTTGTATGAAAAAGTATAAGCCTCATGCCAATTGAACAACTAACTTCTCTCCAAGTCATAACAATAATCTGCAAACGAAAATTCATC